AGAAAAATGATTTGCATTGTAATACAATTTACTAACATAAATAAACCTTAAAACCAATAGAAATATGCTTTCTTTTAAAAAGTATCTTTATATTTGTTTCTTAGGTTATCACGCACATCACTCATTAAATAAAACTAGTTTTTACGGGTTAATGCACGAAAATTTATTTATTTATTGACGTTTCGCAGCCTTTTCAGGTCTGCATCGTCAGAATAATGATTTTTTATTTAAAATTGTCGAGCTACCTTCGAAAGACTTATATTGAGCGTTCGGTTATTTCATTGGAAGATTTTTAAAATTTTATTGTCTATTTATGAATTTATTATTTAATTTACTTAATAAAGTATTTTATTTAAAATTCTTGTTCGTAATTTTGAGTTTATTTATTTATTTGACCCTAACTACCGTAAACTACCACCGGTTCCAAAATTGGGAGACCTTCCTGAGAAGAACCGGCGAAACAAACTCAAGAGAGGCTTTCTATCTCCTTCTTATGTTAAATTATGCAAACAAAAAGAACTAATAGTATCTGATGGTCTTGCAGTGTGTGCTCGGGGTTGGGATTTTATCTCCTGTATAATAGGTTCCCAAGCTGGTGGTATATACCAACCATCTTCCCTATTGAACAATTCCAATTTTGGAACCGGTGGTAGTTTACGGTAGTTAGGGTCAAATAAATAAATAAACTCAAAATTACGAACAAGAATTTTAAATAAAATAGTTTATTAAGTAAATTAAATAATAAATTCATACATAGGCAATAAATTTTTAAAAATCTTCCAATGAAATAACCGAACGCTCAATATAAGTCTTTCGAAGGTAGCTCGACAATTTTAAATAAAAAATCATTATTCTGACGATGCAGACCTGAAAAGGCTGCGAAACGTCAATAAATAAATAAATTTTCGTGCATTAACCCGTAAAAACTAGTTTTATTTTCAATAGGGAAGATGGTTGGTATATACCACCAGCTTGGGAACCTATTATACAGGAGATAAAATCCCAACCCCGAGCACACACTGCAAGACCATCAGATACTATTAGTTCTTTTTGTTTGCATAATTTAACATAAGAAGGAGATAGAAAGCCTCTCTTGAGTTTGTTTCGCCGGTTCTTCTCAGGAAGGTCTCCCAATTTTGGAACCGGTGGTAGTTTACGGTAGTTAGGGTCAAATAAATAAATAAACTCAAAATTACGAACAAGAATTTTAAATAAAATACTTTATTAAGTAAATTAAATAATAAATTCATACATAGACAATAAAATTTTAAAAATCTTCCAATGAAATAACCGAACGCTCAATATAAGTCTTTCGAAGGTAGCTCGACAATTTTAAATAAAAAATCATTATTCTGACGATGCAGACCCGAAAAGGCTGCGAAACGTCAATAAATAAATAAATTTTCGTGCATTAACCTGTAAAAACTAGTTTTATTTAAGTATCTTTATCTTAAAAAAGTATTGAGAAAATACGTATTTTGTATCTAGTATTTCAAACACTTTTTCCAAAGGTATCTTTGTATCTGTTATCTACTAAATACTTGACTACCTAGTATCTTGTATTTTGTATTTTACATACTTTTTTTTAAGGTATCTATTACATTTCTGCTGGTAACCTACTTTGATTCAGTAAAATTAACATATTTCACTGCATCAATGTAGTTGTTTTGGCAAATCAGACTCTGATCGGACTGCTGGCTGAATGCAACCAACCAAGTATCTTTTTCTCCCCCTTATTAATATTTTTTCGATTTCGTGTTAGAAAATTTAGATCCTTAAGCAAAGACATTAAATTAGTATTATTAATTCTTTTTCTCCTTAAGGCCCACGAGTGATCCTGTTGACACAAACATCTTAGAGGCAAAAAGAAATGTTTCAGGCAATGATTGACGCTCACTTCAGCAAATTATAATTTGTTTAATAATTATTATTTCAACTTAGATTAATACAAGTACTTAATTGACATTGTTAGAATAATATAATTAATAATTAACTAAATGAAAAAATATTGCATATCAACAAGACAGAATATGGCTGAACTAAATATAATTTGTATGTTTGTACACAACAATAACCTGTTTTCGCAATAAAAATGATTTGAATTGAATCATTTGAGACATAAGCATATAAATATTCGGCATCGATTTGGAACAAAAATCTACCTACTTATCATAAACCAAGCATTTTAAATCTGCATGCATTTATTGCATATCATTTAAACGGGCTGCCCGAAGACGGGAGTCTGTTGTGCGGTCTTTGCCATAATAGAATGCTAATTTCTGTGCCACTTACTTATACGGAATTTTATATAAAGTAGTTGGTATACCTACAAGGCGTATCTTTAAACTCATGTGTGTTCACACAATAAATACAATAATTCATGGACACTAAATACACAGTTAAAAAAACAAAAAGGCATATACCATGAATACTTAATAACCGAAATAGGTACTTAAAATTTAGACATGAATGTTTTAGAGCAAGCGTACGTTGAGCCACTAGTGGCTTATTTAAGCCACTAGACGCAGCCTCCAATCGAATCGAGAAAAATAGAGGGTTCTGCCGTTACGCACCCATCCCGCGACTGTCCTGGCCGGGACGTTCCCACAGTGCACCTACAATGCAGTCTTTCACTGTGGGTGCGTCCCGGCCAGGGGTGTCGCGGAATGGGTGCGTAACGGCCGGACCCTCTATTTTTCTCGATTCGATTGGTGGCTGCGTCTAGTGGCTTAGTAGCGGCCACTCGATTTCTCTCCACTCGACTAGTGCCTTTGAAAATGGTAAAAAGTGAAAAAATATTAGAACATGATGAAACCCATTTCCAAAGGAAGAGAACATATAAAAAGAGGAAAAATAATTTACCGGCAATTTGAGGCGGAAAGGGTGGGAATGGAAACAAGAACTTTTGCATTTTCACTATTTTCACGTACCTGAAAATATCTGCTAGAAATCAAAATTATTTTCTTTTTAATTTGGTGCCAACTAACCTTCTTTTTGATACGAAATATTTTTGAAGTGAAAACTTCTTTAGCGGCGTTGTACACTTTTTTGTAATGGGTAAAAAATGTTAAACTCTCGTCAGGACCTAATAGAAAATTCGTAAGGTGATAACAATAAAATTGGAAAGGTTGTTAACTTTCAATATATTGGACGAAACATAGTAATATTTTATTTAATCGTATTATAATAATAAATCTCTATCTAGGATGTCCAGGTGGCAGCTTTATGGCGTAGAAAATGCATTTTTTACAATAGATGTAGAGATAAACTTTCTAATGTAGGTAATATAAATTGTCATGTTTGTTTACGATAGCGCAATAAATAAATATTGTATGCTACCACATAAATGATAGTACTTTTATACTGATAATTAAAGCAATTCGTGCAAAAATGCATAAGGTTAATATTCAAGTTTTCACTTCTGCCGGCACTCCCGGAGTTGAACCCGTCGTTTTTTTTTCAATAGACAAATCTCGCGTCATAACGTTGCTTTTTTAATATAATATTGGTAAGCTTTTTTTCGTTGAAACCTCGAACGAAACCTCTGCTTTCTGATGGTACATGGATGGTACTTATACAAAAAAATATACTTAGAGTCTGTGCGGAAAGAGAATGGGCGTGGCGAAAAACGGAACTAACATTAAGATTTTTATTTGGCAATCAAACCCTGTAAAACGTCAAAGTTTTGTATTGATACGGATTTGTTGTTGTGATTTCTTGCGGTTTTTTGTATTTAATCATGTCTAAAAGGGGTAAAACCTTACAAATACGGCAGAAAAGCACTACAGCGCCCTCCAATCTAAATCCCATTCTCTTTCCGCATAGACTCTACTATGGTTTTTTTTTTCAGAAAATGCAAAATACGTCATCAAGATTCTCAGTTTTTTGATTGAAAATAAAGTTACTATTGCGTTATCATATCAAAATAAGCAGAAAAAAACAAAAAATTGAATTGAAAAAATTTAAGTGTACCTATTATTTGTTTAAAATTTTTTTTTGGGAGATAAAATAAAGTCCAGGAAATCCGGTTATTGATTTTTCGCAAAAAAATATGTGAAAAAGATGTTAATACTAAAGTTGTCGATCTTTTAATCACTTACAACTGGCAATTGTTTATTTCCGATAGCAGAAGTCGTTTTCCCGGTTATCGCAATAAACCGCTTTTCATACTTAAAAGTTTATTCAGTGCTCTTCCCGATTTCAATGGCCCTGGTCTATTGACAAAACTTTGAAAGTGGGCATAAGAGTTAAAGAAATCTTCAGCAATTTTGAAAAGTCTAACGTATAAATATGGTGGTGCAAAGTTGGCTGGTTCAGCTAGTAAATAATAAATTCTTGATATTTTAAACTACTGAACACGCTTAGAGGTTAGAGGACCTCTTTTGGTGTTCTATTTAAGAAGAGCTTCTTGTATTTGTATCGCGAATTCACGATGCAAAATATACACCTAAATGACCATACATAGGGAGAAAATATTTATTATCAATTAACGATATTAAAACCCAGTTTTTAAAACCCTTATTCTCAATACACAATAAAATGCTCTTAACAGGATTCAAACATAAGCCTTAGCAGTAAAACGCAGATTTTGCGTTAACCGTTCATCAAATCTACTCATAGACTTTGTAGAGATGCGTTTCACACGGTTATATCAAATTCAAAACAAGCAATAGTGCATGTTTTTACTAATGAATTATTAGCTTAATTCCTTGTGATAAAAATATAACTTTACCTACGTACTTTTTCTGATCTGTTAAGTTTAGTCACGGTAATTTATTATTTCTGCTGCTGAAATAATAATTACGTAGAGGTATTAAATTTCCTTACATGGTGGTATTACCTTACTACGATTATTAGGTTCTTACGAAAGTAAATTCATATAATGTTTCATACATTTTGTCGAAGTGTTTAATATCGATGTCTCAGCACTCGAAGTCTGGAGTCACCGTGTAGCTTTTACACCATTTTTGGTATGAATGACTTCAGCAGTGAGATGTGAGCGCTTACGTGTCCCGAAGGTCTCGTCTCGTGGGCGAGCGAATCTGCGTCAAGGTGTGACGGGGGGCGCCGGCGCACGGTCAGACTCCGCGAGCCAGTCGGCAGCGACGCGCGCGCACGCTGCGACAAACGACACGAACGACTCTCGCGACCATTCCTATTACAATACATGGCAATTGTTTGACAATATTATGTGATAGAACCTATATAATTAACGTATTTAAAAAATTATTTAATCGTAATTTAAGAATCTCTTAGGTTTTAGTTTTACAATTTTAAACTAAGTGGGACCAAAATGACAATCAAAAATAAAAAGACTAAACAGTCGAAGTCGGAATTGACTTCGTCCAGTACCAGTGCGTCTACAAGTAGTGTTCAGAAAAGCAGCACTACCAAAACTGTGCAGCAGAGCAGCAACACCTTGCAGAAAACCAGTTCGTCGGGCAAAAAAGTTCGTTATATTGAGGTAAAGGTTGAGGAAGACGACCCGTTAATGATTACTGATGTCACCGATCATTCGATAAGCGGCTCTACTATATCAGAATGCTACAATAGCCATCCGCATTATATTATAACAGAAGCCCCATCTATTCCGGATCTTTCACAAACTAGACAGGAGTTGCAAGTCAGTGACATGGCCCAGGCCCATACTGGTGAGTTCGTGTCCAGTTCTGTTTTACAAGAATCCTCCATTTCACATCATCAACAGAGTTCAAAAAGTGAAACTCATCAATCTTCAACATCTGTTCAACGTTCTGGCTCAACTCACAGTCAGTCATTCGACAGGACTATGGACTCCTCGACGGGCAGCCAGACCATGAACACTGCTTTTATTGATACGTCATCGAATGCTAAACCGACATTTTTATCAAGATCTAAAGGTGCAAATGTAACTGATTCTTTTATCCAGTCTGAACGACAAGAGTTATTAAATCAATCTTTGCAAAAATCAAATAACATGACATCTGAATCTGTAAGTCAAACACATGACACCAGCAATAAAAAATATATTAATCAACATGATAGTAATACTCATAAAAACATCCCCGATCGGTCAAAAAGAATTCAAACAACTGGCTCAGAGACTTCAAAGTTTTATGGAGGCGAAGGCAGCTTAGACAAAAATGTCAAAACAAAAGAATACAGTACCACATCTCAGACAAGTGAGACTAAAAGTAGCAATGTAGCTAAATCTTCATCTTCTTCCTACGTTATTGAGATTGTTGATGGTAAGGAACGTATTATAGACAGTTCAACGAGGGAATGGGGTGACGCTAAGGAACAAGCTTCATCAGAAGCTTATGCAAGTGTTAGTGGCACAGGAATTAAGCCCCAATCTGTACACAGTTCCCAAGCTTATGATATGAAATCTAATTACGATACGGGGAAAGATGGTCAAACGCCAACAAGTGGAATGACACTGAAAGAACATTCAAAGCTCATCAAGGATGGGAAAGAAGTTTCTACTCATGAAAGTGTTATTTCTGAGAAAGATAACTATAAACAAAAACAGCTCACATCAAGTAAAAATAATATTATTACTCAAGATCAACAGCAATATTCGACTACTGCAAATGATACTTATAGTTCGAAATCTGTAAATCAAACTGATAAAAATGTAACTGAAAGTAATTTAAGCAACAAACAAATGGTGTCTGACCGAAGACTAAATAAAAATGCTACGGATTCATCAAACTTTTATGGTTACGATTCTACTATACAGAATCAGCTAAATAAAGTTGGTGACATTCTTCAAGTTGATGATACAAAAAATATAAACTTTTCTACAAAAAATTTAAAAAGTAATACCAGCAGTGCTCAGCAAGCTTCAACATCTTCATATGTATTTGAAGTAGTCGATGGTAAAGAAAGAATAGTGGATAGTTCCCACAGAGAATGGGGAGATAGTAAAGAACATGCCACTTATGAAAAAGCTCACAATGTTCATGGAACTAACAAGAAGCCTGAAAGTGAATATACTAGGCATGTTCTTGATAAAGAATCTCATTATGACACAGGCTTAGATGGAGTTCCAAAAAGTTCCACCCAAATTTCTGAAGACTCAGTTATGTACAAAAATGGCAAAGAAATTGCCGCGACCAGTAATGTATATGCCGGTGACTTCACAAAGAAAAAAGCTATTACAGAACACAGGAAAGATACAGAAGACGTATTGAATAAACGTATTCAAGACACTTCTGACAAAGTACATTCCACTACTTATGAAACGTCCTCTTCTGATACTCTATCTCACTCGAAAGATCACACAGACTTAACAAAAGTATCAGATTTTTTAACAACTGAGAAGCAAAATATAGAAAAGCAGAACTTAACACAGGAGAGCACTTCTTCATCCACATCTCAAACAAAGGATACTAGGACTACATACGAGAGAAGTACAGGAACCTGGAATGGAAAGTTCGTTTATGAAAAAGATGATGACAGACCCAAAAAGCCTAAAGAAATGTCTCCATTTGGTCGCCCAGAACAGCCAAGACATCACTTAAAACGTCAAGATACCAACGAAAACATTATTCTATCTTCTAGAGATATAAAAGATTTCACATCCATTACTGATTTACGTAAAATAATCGAGTCGTCCCAGTATAAAAAAGATGTAACAGTTAGCAATAAAAACATAGTAATCAATAGGAACATCGACGACCGTGTCCTAAAAGAAATTATTGAAACAGTAAAAAAATATCCATTCAAGAAAATCAGTAAAGTAACATACGGGACTAAAATCAATGAGGATGTGAAAGATCTCTACGAAGGAATCGATAGTGAAGAAACTCGTGTCGTTAGAACTACTACCGGTGATGCAACCAGAAAATCATTCGAGGTTGAAAAGAACATTAGTCAGATTGAAGTCACTCGATATATCACAGAGAATGGTATAACCAGAAAGATAACGACTTATGAAGATGCAAAGGAAGATGACAAGATAAGTACTAACGTCTTCGTCGACAAAAGCGCGGTAGACTTCGAGAAATTGGTGAGTGCATTGTGTCATAAAGTGTCGCTTAGTTAGATATCTTGTGTTAGAAGATTTGATAATTGGAATAATGTTTTTAGAGAGATGTCCAAACAACGGAAGACGTGATTCGAGAGTACGACGTGGTGGACAGAGCGATCACGAACACCACAAGAGAGGATACCACCGTCAGCACCGTCTACGACGAAACCATCGACAGGAAGACAGTGCGTGACGACAGGACCATCGTAGAGGAAACCGTCGATATTCACGAGACCAGACCGAAGCATGGCGGCCCCAAGAAGCCGGAGAAAATCAACCAGGAGCAGTGCATTTGCGAAATGTGCACTTGTGGGTGAGTCAAATTCTAATTTAAGTTTTGATGCGATTGCCTGGACGTAGGAATGCGTCGAGTGCCATCCCACCTGAGGTGAGAAGGTGAGATCCCACTGATTTTTTCAGAGCAAATATCTATTGATTATTTATAATTATGATTTTGATTTTATAACTTTATCTGAATAAACAATGTAAAATGATTTCTTTCTCTCTTTATTACCATTTTTGTTGAGATTTTGATGTTTGCACTGAAAAGGACAATGGCGAACGCCCATACAATTTTTTGTTGAAATTTTTTCTTGCGTCTTTCAATGAATTGCATGTTAAATTATAGAGTTTACATTCTTGATTTGATTCATCTTATTTCTTATATTATAGGAAGTCTGGATTTATAGATATTCTACTTTGAAGTTTTGGAGGTTATGTCCTACCAAGTAATGCAAAAACGAATTATAAAAGTATTTTCAAGAGTATTTTTATATCAAAATAAAAAATACGTGGAACGGAACTATAGAATTATACCGGTCCTGAAGATAAGTGACGAAAAAAAAATGATTTTTACAATGTATGATCAGTTGGCTTTCTTTCTTTCTTTCTTTGGCGTAGGTACTGACCAACCGCGTCAAAATACTTATTATCAGACAAGAGTTATTGAGTTCAAATACAATGTCTGTGCTGTAAGAAGTACTTAACAATTTGAAAATGCCCACTGCAATAATAAAGTTTAAAAAAGGATTTCTAATAATGTACTAATGGGATCTTAATTAAATATGCAACACTTTTTATATATTTTTTATTCCACATCGTTGATCACAATATCGTTGATAGTAGATCAGATACAATGAAATAAAATCCACAGTATGGGACAGAATCGTGTCCAAAATCCACAGCAAAATATCAGATTCGGAAGTCTTAGGCAAGCACTACTCAACAGTCGCAGAGAAAGATTTCGAAAGTCCAAATACTGTCCAAGTCACATAAAAAAACAAATCTCAGAAAAACACAATACGCCGATTGAAATATTTGTAATATCCATGTACCTAAGCACAACTAATGATAACAATAACAACAACAATTCGATGACAAGCATGACAGTGACAGTTATAGTTTTTTTTCGTTAGAATTGTCGCCATACTCTTTTTGTATTGTGGAGATTATTTAATATGGTTGCAGTATAATATTGAAAAATAATGTTTCCCAATATTTTGATAGATAATTAAATACAGTTCAAGCGTAAAGCGATGCAAAACATACGAACAACATATTTAAAGTTGATTTCATCACTAAAATCGCTTAAAATGAATGGCTCAAAAGCCATCATGGCCAAGCCAAAATAAAAATAAAAAATAAATAGTCAATTGTGTTTCCCTTTTTTTAAGTTTTTAATTCCAGACTTACACAACCCTCCTCAATTGTTTAATAAATCTTTTGAGATCATTTCATTAACATTTCTGATAATGACATCTATAGACGCTATAGATTTACTTCAACAAATATTTCGCCATTGTCCTTTTCGATATGCAATGCAATGCTTCGGTATCAGTCTAATATAAATGATACCAGAAGTTCGTTTTGACTACTTAAGAAAATTCATATCAATAATCAATCGTCATCCTTTTCAACCGACGAAAAAACGGAGGAGGTTATCAATTTGACGCGTATATATTTTTTTTGATACTACTTAATATTTATTTTGGTTCCTCCACATATCTTACGATCATTCGGGTCGTCCCATATTTGATGGTAGCGAATCGTGGTTCAGGTTAGCTTCAATGAATTGTAATTGGCATACCTATACCTATTATTGTTGGTGACACAATTATTTTTACGATATAGCAGCAAATGAGAATGACTTGGTACGAGGTTAAAATATCATTGATTCAAGAGCGTTACATACAGTAAGAATGAGCTGTTTTGTTTCTCGGGAAACAAATAAATGGGAATATGCGTCATAATGAAATGTGTTAGTATTTATAGGAGATGAGTCTTAAAAGCGTTAATGCAGATTTAAAAGTCAGTAATGCACATGATGCATCTCAACTGGGTCACTGAACAGTTGTTAAAGTGAACAAAGATCTCGTTCAATTGTGCTAAAAAATTATGATGATTCTCTGCTATGGAACACCATTGCTTATCATGCTCTTTTTGATATTATCTTGACATTATCACGCTCAACTTACAAGATCATTGTTTACATAAAGTCTTCGTGTATACTATATTGAAACGCGTAATTATTACAAAAGAAGAAGAAGTACATTCCTTTTTTTTTTTCATTGAAATTTTGTAAAGTAAAATTTTTGCAAGTATGTTTATTATAATATTGCACCTTAATGTGTAATGTGACTTTTATGATTACTTTTGACCAATACAAAATTCGTAAGCATAAAACTGTTCTCCTACATCTTTTTTTTATTATGAAAAATAAAGAAGATTCTGAGTATGAACAAAATTCTAATATAATCTAATAATTATTTTATTACGAACAAAGATGTAGAATCGTTCCGCAGATTAATTTATAGACAAATATCCAAAATGCCGATGGGAGGACAAAAACAGGCGACAGATTGATTACATAAGTTATGTTTAGGCGTGACTTGGTAACTATTTAATTTAGTCTTACTATGCCTTTTAGATAACGCTTCACGACTTAAACTCAAATGATTTTTAAGATATTATCGACGGTTTTCAGTCTTTATGCATTTAGTACTGCGATAAAATATTGAATGTGTAACATTCTCGTTCATATACGGATTTTAACTATTCCCATTTTTACTGCTCCAGAAGAAAGGATTTTTGTGTTTATGCTCTATATTTATTTGGCACAATCTGTTTTGATACTTGAAAAAGCATAACATGAAGAGTGAGTTATCGATAGAATAAAATGTACTAAAAACAAACTTAGTTGTTTATATTCAAAACATATTCATGTAGGAAGTATTAATTAGATAAATTAGGTTTTCATGCTTCAAAATTTAAAAATGCGTAATTTTCTAATTTTCAATTGAGTAATCCTTAGTGATGTATTTTAGTTATTATATATTTTAAGGTTTTTTTAGTTTTAGTGATTACGTTATATTTTTGGAGGTTCTTAGTTTAAGGTTCATTGTTCCAGTAATCCTACTATATTATATTATAAATGTGAAAGTTTGTATTTTTGTTACTCAATCACGCCAAAAGTACTGAACAGATTTGGATGAAATTTGGTACGCGTATAGTTACTTGTACCTGGACTGAGACATAGGATACTTTTTATCCCAGAAAAACGTTAGGTTCCTGTAGGATTCTCAAAAACTAAAGATAATGCGGACCAAGTCGCGGGCCGCCGTTAGAAAGTAATATTTTCGAATTGGAATTTCAGATCTTTTACAAAACTGCTACTTATATTCGAACCTTTTTTTCATTGATCCAATATTTTTTCATAGAGTCGAGTTCTAATAAATTTCTAGAATAACACAACATCCTATCGTTCTGATTACTATAGGTAGGTAAAGTTAGAAATTTTACCATGTTCTTTGGAGAGAATAACTTAATTTCTCACAATTTTATCACAAAAATTGTATAAAATTTACATAATAGGGTAATATAAAAAAAATTGTATGTGTCAGCTCCGACGCACGACTGGAGTTTACTCCTTAAGTTCGATAGTCTAACCAGACGCAAAAAGAGTTTATTTAACTTAAAAAAGATTGATACTGTATGAAAGGGTAAATTAACAAATTAATGAAAATAATATACATATATAAATATATATTTATTCATTTCATTTTTACAATTTTCAAAACTTTTTACAATAGTCAATTTCAGATGTGCATAAATATATCATTAGGAATGTTGATAAATTATGTAATTATTGTTATCAGACTATTATCATTTTTTTAAATATTAATTAAAGCAACATTGTCTGCATTATTAATTACAGTGACAAGTGGTTTATGGTAACTAAAATAAGGCACATGGACGTTCGTAGATACGTGGTTCACGAATCTTGAAAATACCGCATCAATGGTTGTACCATACCTCGTTGTCCCCATTGCTCTATCAGAAACAATATCTAAATTCAGTTCAGATTTTAAAAAAATTATTAATGTCAATCCGTCATCTTTGTTTGTCAAAGTTGCGCGACATAGGCTGCGCACCAAAAACGTAACGAGGTCATTCATCGATAGATTTTACTCCTCAAATTTTTCTCATACCGGGCCCCTTATATATGCAAATCGATTCTTAAGGAGTAAACTCCAAAAAAAAATCAATTAATAGAGTAAGCACCTAAACTTTATAAATAACGTGTTTCAATAAACGTTTTAACAATGCAACCAAAAAATCTATTCAAAATAACAATTACATCTGTATAACTAACAAGCAAGGTGTGTTGTTCAAAATAAACAACACCACAGCTTTCTGATGAAGTGTTTATTTTACTTGCGTTTTTATCTTCAGCGGGGCTATTCTGTAGATCCGCACGTTTCATAGATTCGCGCGGAACCGCATCGAATACGAGCGTGAATAGCCCCGCAGTTGGCTAGTTGCCAAGTTGGGAAATAAATATCTATTATTGTTATCATTGGTCACAATGTCACGGTCTTTTTTTAATGCATTATTCAGTTACCTCTCTCGTGTCACAATAACATCCTATATACTAATTTTATAAATGTGCATCACTTGGATTCTTTGATACTTTTCATCACGGAAAATGTTATTGTTCACGGTGTGATTGTTCACCTTTTTTTACTGAAATTAAAGTCTCAGATCAAATACTTTTTATACGATCTAAGACGAGATATAATAGACAATGAGAGCGTATGAAGTAATTTAAAAATAAAAGAACATATCACATCACATCACCGGTTTGCTTGTTACATCAATTTGCATATTTGTATTATTTTACTTGCTAGTTTTAGCCAGCGACTTTGTATGCGTGGTTTTCGAAATTGTACCTCTATTACAGAGAAACTAATAATCTTTACATAATTTATAAAACAAATGAGCTCCTGCTGACTGACTTACTTAAACTACTCTACG